TACTCATATGTGTATGTCTGTTTCTTTTTAAACAGTAGCGCACAATTTGCCCTACTCTACACCTTGCTGTCTGTTAACATTATACCTTAGAGACAGTTCAATATCTACACGCCTGGATCTCACTCCTTAATAGTTGTACAGTATCCCGCTAGATGGAAGTACCGTAATTATTCAGCCGTGGGACTTAGATTTTTTTCCAGCCTCTTACTCTTCATTCTTTCCTAAAGTTTGTACTGATGCCCAAGATGTGCCAGGCACTGTTCTAGGGATGGAGAGCAGAAAATAAGATATTTGAGGAATTTACAATCCACATACAGAGAGGAACATTCTCATACATCTGTGTACATGTGTGAATGTATCATTTCTATAAACTATAGAGGTAGAATTGCTGAGTGAAAAGGTACATGCATTGCTAATTTTGATAGATATTGCAAGTAGCCCAAGAAAATGTTGTATCAATTTCCTCTCACTCTCTGTTCTGAATATTTTCATGTGATTAAAAGTCACTATAATTTTTTATATTTCTTAAACTAAATTCTCCATATAAAAATGCTCACAATCACTTGAGCAATGGCTAAGAAACTAGGAAACATGACATATGGGACACTCTTGGTGGGGGGGGCCAGACCCTGCTAACTAAGACTTTCCTCCCTGCCTCCTGCAATGCCAAGAAGGAAACACGGGGGTGGGAGGTGGTACATGTGACCCAAGAGGACAGGCCCTTTGGAGAACATGGTGCAGTTAACAGAATCGCCCATGCACACGCTATCTGACAAGGAGGAATACACACACACACACACACTGTGTAGGAACTGAGAAGAAAAATATTAGTGATACCTATGACCTAGGCCTGAATTCCTTAGTATTTAAAGAACTTCTACAAATCAATTAGAACTCCAACAACCCCACAGATAAATGGACAAAGGACAAACACAGTTCTCAACGAAGGAAGTGTTCTGTGTTCCAGAAAATCTGTTAATAAAATGAACGCTGTTAATTAAAAACTTTTAAAATGTGTGTTTCTGATCAACATCAATCTGCCCCAAGTGTAGTCATTACCACTATTAAAAACAGCTGGCCTCAGAAGAGTCCTCTGCACTCAGCCAGCCACACTTGTTCCCCTGGCCCTTTCTGTGTCTGTCTTTCTTCCTGTGTAAGACTTTCTGTGACTCACCATCTCATAAGCACTGATGCTGCCATCAGCCATTCCCACCCTCCCCTCCCGGCCTTGGTGACAGATTCCCACTTGCCTGCTTCTATCCACTCTCCCTGTAGGGACCCTGTTGGGGCTCTGCCCAGATCCCCAGGATCCCTTTCCCTGATTCTGCCCCTACCACTAAGTATGCTTTTGCTTCCAATCTGAGGTACCCGCGACACTTCTCAGGAGGGCTGTCCTGTACGACTGCCCCTTTGTACCCAGATAGAGAGCCTGAGTGCCTGGATTATGTTAACCAGGGTGGCCCTTAGCCAATAACCCACAGGCATAGATATGGAAGCCCAGATCCCCTGCCGGGGGAGGAATTCATATTCCGGAGCTCCTCTGCTGACCAGGTGAAGTTACCCTTCTTGTAACTTTGTCTGAGATCCTTGCTTGCTACCCTTTTTCTAGGTCCTTACTGGTTTCTCCTGGGAGTGTTTCCTTCATAAACCACTCTCACATAATCCTTGGGTGTCCCAGCAGCAGGCTCTAAAGGCAATGTAAAACAAAGTCTTCTTCCTTAGTAACAAAATCCTGATTTCTTTTTTTTTATTCTGGCATGCAACTCTCCAAAAAACAGGCTACATTTCCCAGCCTCCTTTTCAACTAAGGCTATGACTAAGTTCTTAACAATGAGATATAAGCAGAAGTGCCCTATAGGACTTCTCAGAAGCCTGTAAAAGGGCACTCTTGCTGATGGCTAGAGCTTGTCCTATACTCTAAGGATGGGGGCACACCCTCAGATGTGGGAGCAAAGATCTGGAAAAACCCTGGGCCCCTAACAATGTCACGGACCTGCCAAAACTAACCACAGATTGCCTACAACTTCTTTTATGTGAGATAAGTTTCTCTCCTGTTTAAGCCAATGTCATTTGTTTTCTTTGTCCTATGTGGCCAAGCCTAAATCCTAACTTATAGACCAGACCACCGTAATAGAGGCTGAAAAAAGGCAGATGCGAGCTTCCCTGGTGGCACAGTGGTTGAGGGTCCGCCTGCCGATGCTAGGGGACACGGGTTCGTGCCCCGGTCTGGGAAGATCCCACATGCCGCGGAGTGGCTGGGCCCGTGAGCCATGGCCGCTGAGCCTGCGCGTCCGGAGCCTGTGCTCCGCAACGGGAGAGGCCGCAACAGTGAGAGGCCCGCGTACCGCAAAAAAAAAAAAAAAAAAAAAGGCAGATGCTTGCTTTTCCACCCTCCCTTTCAGCTAGGGTTTGCTAGTGTGACCCAGTTCTGGCCAACGAGATGTATGGGAAGGTCGGGTGGGGAGAAGGGTGGGGGGAAGAGGTTCCAGAAAAACAAATTTTCTTCTCTGATGAAAAAACAAAACAAAAACCAAAACAGGTGCATGATGTAGAGCTCTCTTGCTACCCCGGCAACCTACTCTGTGCTACCTGCCTTTGGTTGCAGCATGTGACGATGTGGTGTCTGGAGCTGGTACAGCCATTCTAAAATTATGGAACTACTGGTCAGTCTATGGACAAAAAGCCAAACAGCTGAGGAGAGCTGTGTAGAAGGATGGAAAGAGCCTGAACCCTTCAAGCCATCCCCGAGACCTCCCACTCCACACCACTGCAGAGTCCACAACGTTAATCAGTTTTCCTGTGGTTTGCAGCTGAAAGCAGCCCAACACTCACTGGGGCTGAAGCACTGAAACAGAGTAAGGAATACTTAGTCTTTATAAGACCTAGAGGTGATAATTCTCAAGAAACCTACTACTATTACCCCTTGGAGCGGAAGATGACTGAGTTCTGGGAAGATAATTATCTGCGTTAGACTGCCTCTGAAGGCAAGAAACAGAACCTCCAGCTTCAGGGAACATAATAAATAAGCTCCAGGATCAGCTGATCTGGGTGCTCAACAATGTGATCAGGAACCCAGTCTCCTCCCCTCTCTCTGCTCAGCCATTCTTCAGATGGGCTTCATCCCCAGGCTGTTAGCAAGATAGGGGCATACGGACTCCGCCTGCCGGTGCAGGGGACGCAGGTTCGTGCCCCGGTCCGGGAAGATCCCACATGCCGTGGAGCGGCTGGGCCCGTGAGCCATGGCCGCTGAGCCTGCACGTCAAGAGCCTGTGCTCCGCAACGGGAGAGGCCACAAGAGTGAGAGGCCCGTGTACCGCAAAAAAAAAAAAAAAAAAGA